AATAGAGTTTGTTCGTGATCATACGAACTCCAGCGAAGATTCCGGTTGATGATCCTTTTGTATCGCGATATCATATGTCGAACATAAGGCATGGACAAGCCACCTTATCTGATTCGACTGCTTTCTCGTTCATTGAGTTTGACTGTCTGAAATAGACGACGCTCGTCTATAGTGCGGCCACACATTTCTACAGTCTCGCTCACACGAGGGGCCCAGCGATATCTCTCTCTTTTACGAGAGGTACAAATCCCATCTTGACTATCTACAATCCAGTACATGATTCGTTTCGTACCTGATACACGCTTTTATAGTCCTCCTGTTACGCAGGACGTTTGACGTATTCAAGGCACGCAACTCCTCATGTTGGATTCTGTAGATATCTCAGGTCTTAGGATCCAATCATGGAACTGCCATATGAGATTCAAGTCATGACGCTAGTCCATGTGATAATCTCATGCGGGTCAATCCAGTATTCCGTTCTCCAACGAATACCTATGACTGTGATTGTATCCAATACCTATGATCAACGCTATGATCATCAATCACATATCATACTAGTCTTATTATGTCGTTATTCCCATAACGACACAAGACTAGGGAGTTTAGTATCATTCATAATGATACATGGATTTTACAACAGATCTAGTATGCAAGAACATGTAATGAATCAAATACTCTCATAAAACATAGAAAGTATCAATACATCAAATGTATCTAAATAAAGCTCATAAACAGTATATCATAGAGCACTAAACCAACACTTATTTCCTTATTACTATTTCCGAGTTTTTCTCTTGGATTGTTCCTTGATACTCACCATGGCTTGTGGTTTAACTAAAGCTCATAAAGCTCCCATCTTTTATTCTTCCATATTTGTAAAATCATTTAACATACTTGTTTTCTCATTTTTCATTTGATCACCTCTTAATTCCTTTATCATATTTGTAAAATCATTGAGATTTTTCCCTTTTTATTTCGGCTTGGACCGGTCGGTCTACGAGTACATCGTCCGGTCTGCGCGTGTGCATCTGGTTCGGTTTGTAGTCTTGGACCGTCCATTCTAACTGGACCAGACCGGGCGGTCCAGCTCATTCGGACCGTCCGTTCCACATGGTCCAGACCGGGCGGTCCAGCTCATTCGGACCGTCCGTTCTCCCTTGTTTCTCAGACCGGGCGGTCTAGGTCTTGCTGGAACGGTCGACCCAGCTAGTTCCACAGGTTCGTTCTGTCTCGTCCCAGACCAGACGGTCTACACACCGAGACCGGACGGTCTGGAACCCAGGACTTCATCTTCCTCACGAGATTCAGTCCGATCTTCCACCATTTTTGACCAAATTCTGATCCGATTTCAATTCTAATCGTTACCCACTCAATATTTAACATTCCTAGGTGCTCAACTCTTGCAGAATCACTAGTCTACACCATAAATCATGAAAATAGAATCTCACAAACACAATCCAAACCACTCACCTCGGAATTCTGTGAGTTGCGTTTTCCTCTGAGCTCATGCGAGTTCTACAGGTCTTCTTATCCTCCGAAACTTCCTGGGAACCTCCTTGGGATGTCCCTCTTCGATTTACCGAGCTCTCTTTGCCTCAGTTCTTCCTCAATCTCTCTCCCTTTCTCTCTTTTTCAAAAATACGGTTTTTCAGTCGAGATGGTTTTCTTCCTCTGATTGGAGCCGATTTATCAGCCCCTTCAGAGACCCAATCGACCAAAACGCGGCCTGGGGGCCAGCCTGTGTCTGGCACTACACGGGAGTGGCGGCTGGTGGTGCGTGGGGACAGATTGTTGCGCAATAATCGCGGCCGAAAGGTGGAAGAAAGTCAGAAATTTCGGTCACTTTTTCCCCAATTTCAGACCGTCTGTTCTGATTCTGGTCCGTCTGTTCTGTAACGTGCAGAACGCCCGGTCTGCATTCCTGGTCCGTCCGTTCTTGACCGATTTTTCGTCTTTTTCTCCGTTTTTCGCTAGACCGGTCGGTCTATGATGAGGACATCGGAGCTAGTAGCTTGGACGAGGACGAGAGCTTAACGGAAGGAGCTAGCTTGGATGAGGACGGGAGCTTAACGGAAGGAGCTCTAGAAGAGGTTGAAGACTTGGTCCATCAGGCGTCAAGACTCTTGTCGGATGATCATAACGTCACACGATCATTCGAAGCCGCGGGAACGGGACTTGACATGCACAAGGCGAAGGCTCCCCGAGCAAACCCTAGAGCCGAGCCACCATTAACTCGTGCTAGAGCTCGAGCACTTCGTATCACGCTAACCAAAGCTGTCACTCAGCTTTAAGGCGAAGGATTCCGGAGTAACGATAACAATGGCGCATCACTAATCGGACAAGAAGTGACCCGGAACGTCTTCAGCATTAAGTCCGAATTGGCTAAGGCCTAGGACATGACTTTAGTCAAGTCTTCGGCCGAAGAGGGAGGCCCACGACCCAGCCCATGTGCAGCCCAAAGGAAGGAGCTTTCCCAACAGCTCTTTATCTCATTTATTGCTAAACCCATGCATGTAAACTTAGCATTAAGTGTGTTTATTTTTTTTAAAAACTCAGCTCTTGTAATTTTGAAACACAATTGAGATTTTGCAAGTAAATTTGAGATTGAATCTTCTCTCAACTTTGGCTGGTGTGTCCGCCTCTCTTCCTCCGTGTTGGCCGTCGTCGGTGTGTTCGCCGGTCATCCGTCGAGCTCGGTTGGTTCGGCTCCTCCCCTTGGTTTGTCCGAGGTTCCTTTCCCTCGTTTGTCATCTCCATTCTTCTGAAACGATCCGAATTCGAGAGCCACTATTCCGTGAGCCGGTGATTGGATTCGTTTCTCCGCAAAGCCCCATCGCTTCCCTTGTTCCTCCGCGAATTTGAGAGCCACGTCCGTGAGCCGGTGATTGCGGTTGAACTCCCTTCGTCCATCCTCCTCGTGCGTACATCATTTTGGTATCAGAGCTTGCTCGAGCCATAGGACGTTCCCCGGGTGAGATCTATCCTTGTTGTTGTTGTTGTTTCATTTCGATTTCATTTAAATATCTAAACCGAAAATTGTTTCAAAACGAATTGTCGATACTTCTGATTTCGTGTGTTGTTGTACCAGGTTTTAACCGAGAGTTTGAGCGAGGATTCACGAGCCCAAAACTCTCACAACCCCATGGTGAATTCGCTCCTTGATTCTTGATCGATTGCACGTTGTGATTGTTGAATCGTTATTGTATACGTGTCTATTCGGCTTCCGATATTTTCAGGTTGTGTATGCCGGTTGTGTGAGTTGTGTACGTGAATTTCCTGTACGTTCGTGTGTGAGTTGTCTGAGTAAACGTGTGCTGAATCGCATTAGTTCATTCGCTTGTCTAATCGTTATTGATTGCCTCGCACATTGCTACAAAATTCTGCATGCACGTTGTATTGTCGTGTTAGTACGTTTCCTGTTTTGCACGTTGATTATTGATCATTGAGTGATTGCGTGTGCGTGTTTGATTTGTGAACATCTCGTAATTCGGTTGGTTAGCACGTTGATCGCATCTTCATTTGCACGCTTAGTACATTACCTGCATATTGCGAGACTTGAGCGAATTATAAACATGAGTGCTCACGATGCTTCCAATGAGGGATTGGAGATAGGGTCGTCTAGCAACCAAGAGATTTTCCGAGCCCTACAACAAATGATGGAGCGTATTTCTAAGTTAGAAGGATCTAGACCGGAAACCCAAACCATTAGAGAGACAGAACCTAGAAACCGAGCCCCGGTAGATCAACCTAGACCTCGGCCACTGCCCTTACCCAAAACTCTTAGTGATGATGAGAGTGATATCGCCCCTAGAGTCCGAGCCCGAGCTAGGGAGGATGAGAGAAACCCCGAGCGCCCGGGAAACCATA